GAGAGAGAGAGAGAGAGAGAGAGAGAGAGAGAGAGAGAGAGAGAGAGAGGGAGAGGAGGGGCAGTGTCTCATTAACCTGTGTCTTCATCATGAAGCACGGTCTAAGAAAATAAGAGGTCCTCAATATACACATTTCAAATATGATGGCCCATATGGCTTTTCGGAGAGAGATGCCTGAGCTGGAAGCCAGGAGCCCTGGGTTTTCTCACTCAACAGCTCACGATGTGTCCTTTGTAAAATCCCACTCAGCTTGCCTGGCACTCAGTTGGCTTGAGATAAAACCACTGGCTCCCTCTCTGCATCCCTGGGTTATCATCAGGATTGTAAGAGAGCAAAGACGTCAGAGTGCTTTGAAAAAAGTGTTAGAATAGAAATATGTGATGGTAGAAAAGACACATGTGATGATGTTTTTCTCTGAATGTTCAACCTGCCCCAGGTAAACTGTCAGGGCCACCAGATGAGCCTTTCTTTGAATCAGGTGCCACATGGAACTCAGTCTGGGTTAGTCTAGCCCAGACTCCTCCTGGGTACCTCCTGGGCAGCTGTAAATTTTTCAGCTGCCCAGGTGGAGAGGGAGCAGCTGGAGCCGTAGAGAGACGGAGCCCATGGAGCAAAAGGAGGAGCAATGGACTTGGAGTCAAGAGATGTGAGCTCCTGTTATGGACTGAATGTTTGTGTTGCCCCAGAAGTCATATGTTGACACCCTACTCCCAATGTGGTGGTGTTGGGACATGGGGCCTTTGGCAGGAAATTAGGATTAGATAAGGGTGAGAGGAAGGGAGCCCTCATGATGGGATTAGTGCCCTTGTAAGAGTCTCTAGAGCTTGCTTCCTCTCTCTGTTCCTCTCACTGTGGGAGGACACAAGGAGAATCAGGTGTCCGCAAGCCACAGGAGGGCGTTCACCGGAACCTCACCATGTCGACACCCTGATCTCAGGCTTCCAGCCTCCAGAAGTGTGAGGAAAAACATGTCTGTTTACAAGCCACCGGTCCGTGGTACTTTGTTATAGAAGCCCAAGTGGACTAAGGCAGTGCCCATCCCAGTTTTGCCACTAATTTGCTGTGAGATCTCGGGCAAATTAATTCCCTCTCTGAACCAAATCTCTCAGCCATAGTGAACTTCATAGACCAAGTAAATCCCCTCCCTCCCTTTCTTCCTCCCTTCCTCCTGCTCACTCACAAAGGCCCCACCTCTGCCCCGAGGGGGCCCAGTGTAGTAGGAATAAAATGACCAGACCCATACCCTGAGAGGGTACCTGGCAGATAGGTGGACCCTCTTAATAAAGGATCTACAAGACAGCAGGAAAAGGCTTCTCTGGACAGCCAGGACAGAGCACAGCACAGACCCTGTGCACTGAGCTCCAAAGAAGAGGCAGCCAGAGGTCAGGCTGGTTGGCCCTGGGGTCAAAGGGCAAGTCCAGGCATCCCCTGGAGACTCCTGCTTCCAAAAGCCATCGGGGGCAATGCCAAAGCATTAGCCTCATGCAGAGGGCCTGCAGCAGCTGCACTGGCCAGGGCCACACCCTAATTAGACATTTTCAGAGTGTGTCCAGTGGCCTGCTTGGCCGGACTGCCAGCTGGGGCTCCTGTTCTGTCTGGTGGCCTCGGTTAATGAAGCCATGAGGGGCTGACTGAGCTCATTACAGGCAATGCAAGGGAAGAGGGGATGCCCGCCCATGTTCCCCCCGTGCCCCGCCTCCCTCCTCTCCACCATGTTCACACCGAGAATGGGAAGAGAGCTGATTTCAAACCAAGAGGAAGGAGAGGGGCAGGAGCTGAGCTCCAGCCAGATCACACAGCCTGGATGGCTCCCATGACAGCACAGCCAGAGACATGGGTTTCTGCAGTGTGTCTGTGGTTTTAGGGGAGTGTTCAGAGTCCATGGCTATTCTCAGACCACACGCAGGCCCTTTCTTATCTCAGGCCAAGGAGGCAGAATGAGAGCAAAGGTTCAAATCTGTCACTTTCCAATAATTGGCCCACAGACATGTTTGTACAAGCCACTCAGTCAGAGCTTCGCTGTCCTCATCTCTAAGATGGGGTAGTAATACCCATCCAGCTCAGAGTAAGTACTCAGTTAATGTGCTCAATAAATCATCGCTGTTGTTTTTATTATCAAAAGGCAGGCAAGAAAAGGCACAAAATGTGAGCTTCTGAGTGGTGGGACTGCGAGTGATTTTTTTTTTTCTTCTACTTTTCTACATTTTCTAAATGGTATACAATGAGTATTTTACTTTTATCATTTAAAAAAGCACACACTTTCTCCAAAAAATATATCAGAAAAACAAGATTATGTATGAAAGGGCCCAGATAGTGCCTGGGAGGGAGTTATTAACAGAAGCATCCTCCTGCAATGAAAGTTTGAATAGATGAGATTGGGTGGAAAAACATGCATGGTATTTGCAAAAGTGTAATACATTTTTGCCCTTTAATAAAGCAATTTCTTCTCCCCAAATGTCAAGGGAAGAAGGCACAATAGTGAGTGTTCAAATGCTGAGGCACCGATTTAGGGAGATGTTGAGGGGAACTTAAAGGAACAGCACTCCCTGGCCAGAGCAGAATGCAAAAGACAGAGAGAGCAAGGTGGACGCAACTAAACAAAGGGTGGTCTATACACACAATGGAGTATCATTCAGCCTTAAAAAGGAAGGACATTCTGACACATGTGACAACATGGGTATACCTTGCGGACATTAGGCGAAGTGGAATAAGCCAGTCACAAAAGGACAAATACTGTATGATTCCACTAATATGAGGTCCATAGAGCAGTCAGACTCATAGAGATAGACAGTAGAATGGTGGGTGCCAGGGCGGGGGGAGAGGTAAATGGGGTATTATTTACAGGGTGCAGAGTTTCACACTTGTAAGATGAAGCAAGGGTTCTGGGGAAGGATGGGGGTGATGGTTGCACAACAGTGTGAATGTACTTAATGCCACACTCCTGTACATTTTAAAATATTTAAGGGCTTCCCTGGTGGCGCAGTGGTTGAGAGTCTGCCTGCCGATTCAGGGGACACGGGTTCATGCCCCGGTCCGGGAATTTCCCACATGCCGCGGAGCGGCTGGGCCCATGAGCCATGGCCGCTGAGCCTGCGCGTCTGGAGCCTGTGCTCCGCAACGGGAGAGGCCACAGCAGTGAGAGGCCCGCGTACAGCAAAAATATATATTTAAGATGGTAAACTTTATGTTATGTGTATTTTACCACAATTTAAAGCTACGTAGAGAGAAAAAAAGAGATCGAACCCAGGGGAAAGAAGAACGGGGCAGGCAGGATGAAACAAGTCTCTGGTCTCCTGGGGTTGAGGGCCATTCACTGGAGAGATGACCCACAGGGGAGGGGGACCTCCAGGGAGTACAGCGGAGGGGGAGACAGGTGTAGGAGGATGCATCCCGGTGAGGTCGTGGCTCCTGCCCACACTTGGCGGCTGGCACCGCGGGTTCTGAGCTAGGGGCATTTGCAGCTGGAGAACTCAGCCAGGGACGTGCCCAAGAGGACCAAGCCTCCCTCCCTCCTCGAAATCAGAGCTTGGGGTATGAGAAATTAGGCCCTGGAGGGTATGTGTAGGTAAATAAGCAACTAAGGCAGCAACTAAGCCTGGCACCGTCCTCCAGGGGAGGAAGGAAGGGGAATGCTTTGAGCATCTGTTTCACAGGGAAGAAATTCTGAGGCCATTGTGCTGAAGGAATGCAGACATGGGCTGGCTCACCCCCAGATAAAAGAGAACTGGGGAGAGTCAGGATGTCCTGAAAGGAGGTAGGCTGTCACCTTGGCCCAAATGGAAGACAGCGCAGAGCCTGGTGCTTGGTGGGATAATCACAACAGAACAATTTATTGAGCATTTAACTCTCTGTGACAAGCACTTCTCTTGGGTCCCTTGTGTATTCCCTTCAGCATCTTTATGGGTAGCAACTATTTCTAGCTTCACTTTATGCTGAGGAAGACTGAGGCTTGGAGTTGGAAGTCACCTGCAGACCCCGGGCCCTAGATGCACACCATTTGCCCCCAGTGAGTCCTTGCCTCATTTCTGCTTCAGCCCCAGCACTGCCTCCCACCGCCCCAGACCCCTGGCCCCTTCTCACTTGAACTGGTGCTCCCGGGAGCTGCGGATCTTGGAGGAGAAGCGCTCAGCCAGTTTCTCCAGGCTGCGGGAGTACTCAAGCTCGATCTCGGCTTTCCGGCGGAAAAACTCCTGGAGGTCCTGGAGCAGCTGCAGCCTCGACTCAGACTGCTGCTCCAAGCACTTGAACTGCTCCACCAGCTGCGTGCGGATCTCTGCGGACAGAGGCAAGAGCAGGCTGTTAGGCAATGGTGGGGAGAGCAGAGGGACCCACCCAGTCGACCCAATGCCAGTGGCCCAGGCACTGCAATACCATCTGCCACCCAGAGCCTCTCCAGACATTGGCAGGACGATTTGGCAAATGCCAGTTTTGGCCATGGTGTAACCCAGTGTTTTCCAAAGTTGAATCATTGCACGTCACCACCACGATTTTTGCCATATCCACACACGACCAGCATTATTATTTCTTCTGTATGATCTAGTAAATTTGCTCATTTTTCTTACTGGAAAGAACTTACAGTTTTATGTCATTATGACAAGTGTAAAACTAGAACGACTTGCCACCCTGATACACAGAAAATTTATTCAACAAAAACAGAAACTTTGTAAAATTCTCTCTAAAGACTACTGTTATCAAACGCCCTAAGCCTAAACTGCTCGATCTCCATCAACAAGAGGAATACAGGAGCATGAGAGGAGTTAAAGACAGACTTTCTCCAGGTATAGTCAGGACTGAGCGAGGGCTAAGTGTTTCAGTGTTATTCACTCTTAGGTTTCAGGGTTATTTAAGGCCATGCCTGTGTTCTACTCTGAATCACCTTGAATTCCATTGCATCAACATCTCAGGTATGTAGCCCAGACTTCAGGAAATCCTGACAGAGCAAATCAGGTCTGTGCAACCAGGGCAAAAGTTCATAAGCAGGGGCTAGAGATAAAAATCACAGCCAGATCCCAGTGGTTCTGCCACTGCTGCCATCTCCATGCATTAACCCCTTCCCTGCCATCCCACGAGCTGCTCAAGAGATCAGTCTCCCCACACTATGCTCACACCAACTCCCTGCTCAAAACTGCCCAAGGCACCCCCGCTCTGGCTGAGTATTACGTCCAACTCATTAGCACAGAATTCAAGGCCACCCATCACCTGGCCCCAAACTTCATTTCTCTGGATTTACCCCCAGTGGACTCTCCAAGCAATCCAAACCAGTCCCTGAGATGTCCAATTCCTCCTGCAGAAATGGGCCTCCTGTCTGAAAAGGTGGCCAGCACCATCTTAGCATCCTTTGGAGAAATGGTCTTCAAAGGGGGCAGCCCTACTCTGGGGCACTCGAAGCCTTCCCAAGGGGTGCACAGGCAGGAAGTGTTACAAAGGAATCGGTTTGAGATCCTGTTTCCATTCTCACTCTTTCCTCCTCTGCCTGAGAATGTGCCTCAGCATCTCTCCTTTCCCACCTCACTCTTTACAACCGTCCTCTCTCTTTGCAGAAGAAAGACTAACTTCTCCGTCGTCCAGAATCTGGCTATGGTGCAGTGCCCCAAAGTGTCAAGACAGACTTTGAGGACGATTTAGAATGTTGGTGCTCGCAAATCTTCTTTAACCTAGTTCATAAATCCTCGCTCCTCAAAGTGTGGTCCATGGACCAGTAGCATTAGCATCACCCATAGACTTATTAGAAACACAGAACCTCAGGTCCCAACCCAGACCTCCTGAATCACAATCTGCATTTTAACAAGATCCCTGGATGGTCCTTATGCACCTTAAAGCCATCAACCATTCATCCACATCATTATGAGAAGTATTTCCCATACTGTCTTACTTTTTATTTTTAGTATTTATCAAATTATAAAACATTGATATTATTTTGATGAACTGTATGATAAATCAATCTGAAATAAAGATACTTAGGGTTTTATGGCCAAAGGAATTTTTTTTAAAGGTCCATTTCAATTTAAATACATATTTTGGGCAAAAAGAATAGAGCAATCAATAAAAAAGTTCAGGGACTTCCCTGGTGGTCCAGTGGTAAAGAATCTGCCTTACAATGCAGGGGACGCGGGTTCGATCCCTGGTCAGGGAATTAAGATCCCACATGTCACGGGGCAACTAAGCCCGTGCGCCACAACTACTGAGCTTGTGTGCCTCAAAGAGAGAGCCCACGTGCCGCAACTAAGACCTGACACAGCCAAAAAAGAAATAAAATAAATAAATAATAAGTAAAAAAATAAAAAAGTTCAAGCATAAAAATATATTACAATAAAATTCTGTGAAGGAAGTAGAAGGAAATTATGAGCTCAAGAAGGTAAAGACAGGAACAATGTAAATGTAAAATTTCTGCCTTGTATAGGTCATTTTTGATGAGTGGTGGTGGATACCAATATATTGTGGTATTTATCTTATCACCTGGTAATTCCACTCATGGATCATACCCCAAAGAAATCAGTGTTTATGTCTACAAAAAAATATGGAAAAATACTCATAGAAGATTTATAGCTAAATATTAGAAACAACCCAAAATGTCCATTAAGAGTAGATAAGAAAAAAAAAAAAGAGTAGATAAGATTTTTTTTTCAGTAGGGCAATTTATTTCAAAATGCTTGTCACTCTTAAAATAGTAAAGTAAATTTATGCAAAGAGTAGGTAAGATTTTTTAAATGTGAGATATTCATTCAATGGAATACTATACGATAAGGAAAAAATGAACTACTGCTTGCTACCTGCTTAACTCTCCTTATGTTGACGGAAAGAAGGAAGAAAAAATGAGATCATGCAAAAATAGTTTATGGTGATAGAGGTCAGAGAAATGATCACCTTTGGGGGATACTGACTGAGAGGGGATGTGAGGGTACATTCTGGAATGCTGGAGATAGACTATCAAGGTTACACCTTGATCTGGGTGGTAGGCACACTGGTAAAAATGAACTGAGCTGCACACTTAAGATCTGGGCATTCTACTGTTTATAAGTGATACTTCAATAAAAAGGCAAACTAAAAATTGCTGTTATTTAGTTTCCATTTGATACATTTAAGAGAGTAGGGTAATTTTGCTTTAAGAGGTCAATATTTACAACACGGCAGAAATGATATCCTTTGTAACTATTTAAACTTCTAATGAAACATTTCAGATGTCAAGTTAAAATGTGTGGGGCAAAAGAGATTTTTTCCCCCAAAGTTCATTTAGAGGGTAGGCAAGCAAAAAAGTTTTAAAACCAGTGCTTTAGAGCCCAAGCTCTGCTCCTCCCAGGAAGTCCTGGACAGCTCAGCCCTCATGACCCTCCTATGAACTCCCTTGGTACTTGCAATTAGTCTCAGACCGCCTCGTACTATTTTTTTAATTCTTCATGTATGCGCGTCATATCGCCTTAGCTCCCCGAATGAAATTTAAGTTCTAACAATGGATTCTCCCAGCACACATGGTATGTCAGTATCTGTATAGCAAATTACTATTTGCCTTTACCAAGTGCTTTTACCCAAGGACATCAATTGCTGTGATTATGGGAATCTCACCCAACACACACACACACACACACACACACACCACACAAGCACCATACACACACCACACATACACCAGACACACATACAACACACGCCACACACTCACACAAAACGCACACACTCACCATGCACGCGTTTACACACACCACACACAACCCACCACAGATACACACACCATACACAAACCACATACATATACCACACAAACTCATATACCACACATACACCACAACCACCACACACACACTACAAACACACCACACACACACCACACATGTCCACATGCACACTCACACACATACACCACACACATTCACACACACCACACATACACTATTCCCACACCAGACATGGATATTATTATTATCCATTTTTACAGATGAAGAAACCAAGGCTTCTGTGTGAACCAATCAGGAACTTGTCCAAGGTCACATTTTGTTCTGTGAACTGTAACAATCTACGCAGGCACTCCTTGACACAGCCTACTTGTTAAATTGGATTGAGATGCCTTCACTCCACAAGTGCAAACCCTGCCATATCAACACATAGTTACAAAAATGCTTTCTAAATATGTTTTTTTTGATGGGAACCATTTTTAAAGTCTTTACTGAATTTGTTACAATATTGCTTCTGTTTTTATGTTTTGGTTTTTTGGCCCGGAGGCATGTGGGATCTTAGCTCCCCAACCAGGGATCGAACCCGCACCCACTGCATTGGAAGGCGAAGTCTTAACCACTGGACCACCAGAGAAGTCCCTAAATATTTTTAAAATTACTTGTAGACCGTCCACTATTTAGGACTCATAATAACCTTAATAATTACTGTGAGCACTTACAGAGCACATCATGTGTTCCACGCCTGACGCTGAGTTCTCTGGATATTTATCTCACAGAATCTGTATAGCACCCCCTCTAAGGTGGGTGCTACTAGTATTCCCCCACTTTTTCCCCATAGATGAGGAAGTGGAGGCTCAGAGGTAAGCAGTCTCTGGTCATAACAGCTGATGTGTGGCAATTAAGCTAAAAATCAAGCCCAGCTCCTTCAGATGGGAGCAATGACCCTCCCAACTCCTCACTTAACTGAGGCCATACTACTTGCTTTAAAAGACTTGAATCTAACTTCTTGTGTTCAATACACAAGAAGTTGTGTATTCAACTTCCTGTATCCTTTTTGTAACAAGATGGTGGGCTAAAGAGATATTACTTATCAAAAATGCTGCAGCCACTGCCTTCCTCCATTATAGGGCATGATCAGGAGCCAATGTTCTCAGATTTTAGAGGAAAATCTCATAAATCACACTGTGCTGACAGATGATTTGGAAGCAGCAGAGAAACCTCCCCCAGTTCACACAAGCAGCTGGAGGCTCTAGCAGCTTGGACGGCTCAGAGTCAAGTCTTTCTAGCAGGAAATGCCCTGGCAGGAGCCGGACTGCAGCCTGCTGGTGCTGTAGAACCCTGCAGGGATTTGACTACCCATCTCCTTATCTCTAACTCCCTTCCAACTTGCTCTTCCTTGGAGCCAGCACAGATTTGGTTTTTCTCCTGGAAGATTTCAAAAGGAGGGGGAAATAAATAAATAAATAAAACAATTGCTCACAAGGCACAGACTTCATTCAGAAGACTGTCCCCTAGGAGTGGTTCCAGGCTCAGCACAGCACTGAGTGGCAGAAAAATCAAAGGGGGTTGGGCAGGGAGGAGAAGGGGCTTGGAAAGTCGGAAAAGG